TCATCCATCCATCATCCATCCATCATCCATCCATCATTCATCCATCATCCATCCATCATCCATCCATCATCCATCCATCATTCATCCATCATTCATCCATCCATCCATCCATCATCCATCCAGGTAGACCGGGTCCTTCCAGGTCTGTGAAAATAAGGAGGCTGGAACACATCAGATTTATCGTCCCCACCCTGCAGAGATATTAGAACCTGAGCTTAAATGTCAGCCAAACCCAACAGATAAAACCTTTCAATAAACCAAACATTACTGCCACATATCTGACTCAATAATCATTACAACAACTATTTTCATTCATTTTAGACGCAACTATTCACAGACTGGATTATATTAAACTGCACCTCCAACATTCACCACTGTTCAGCGCCATTTCCCTTTTTCCTCTGAGCACGGAGCAGCCGGCTTGCTTGGACTGCAATGAATCATGGGATACCAAAGGCTGAACAGGATACAGCAGACCCCTCCTTCAAAACAATCAGAGAAGGACGCATTTTTAGCTGCATTATGACATCATCGGCCTACAAATCTGGCCTTCGCATTACGCAGCTGTTGAATTTAAAGTCAGCAAATATAAGAGCATGTGGCTGTAGACCTTCTTCCAGGTCACATGACCTGACCAAAGACGGCCAACTTAAGCAGTCGGTATTTCAAGAGGGGAGGCCCGCTGGTAGCATTGATAGTTTTGATCTCTGTATATTGAATCATTTAAAATTACTCATAGCGTAGATTATTTTTGTCAATAAGTCTGCGTTGCGCTTTTAATGTAAAAAATAAATGAGTTGAACCTGGATGCAAACAGTGTGGGAAAAAAAAAACAATTATACAGTTAATTAGATTTGCAGGTTGGCGTAAACTACAGTAATGACATCATCAGTGAGATGATTGGCTGTTTGTATTCCTGTCATAAATGAGATTAAGCTGCTTAATAACCTGAAAGCACTTTAAAAATACTCTGAAATAAAAACACTTCTCATTTATTGAACAGTTTGTAATAATTTCATATTTAAAGTCAAGAACTTTGAATTCTCAACATCAGCTGACTTTTCCTTTAAAGGATCCTGCCCTAAAGTGTGTCCGACCAGCAGGGGGCGCTGGTCGTATAGAACACAGTGATGCTGCAGACAGGTTTGTGTTTGTTTCTATCTTTGTTAGCTGGAGAATTGAATTACTGTCTGTAGCATAATATGAAGTATTTACTTTGGATTGATTAACATTAATGATTAAATGAACATGAAATGATTCAGAAATGAAGAATAATCTTAACTAATGTTTCCGGTTCCTATAAATAATTTCCATTTTCTACCTTTTTAGGGATATTTTATATAAATATGACATCAGGGCCTAAAAGCCCCAACATCATCTGCTGTATTTTGATTTCTTAAGTGTTTTTTTTTCAGTAATAACATCTTCTGCTGAGTTTTCTTTGTGCCTCCCTCTGTCTCCTCATCCAATCATCTTCCTCCTCCTCCTCCTCCTCCTGCTGTCCTTGGAGCTGCTGTTTCAGGAGCAGGCTGCAGTGTTCTGCTGAGTAGCGGTGAAGCAGCATTTGCTCGTCAGCAGGCGGCTTTCAGCTGAGTCCCAGAGTCCCTCAGCAGGCGACTACAGCTCCCAGATTCCTCTGCCGCAGCCCCAAACCGTCTGAAGATCTGAGGGGAACCCCGTGGAACTCTGGGAGACGTGGTCCTCATCCATCAGCTGCTCACGGAGGCAGAGGGAGGAGAGGGTGACGTGCCATGACAACAGTCAGAAGGAGACGCACTTAGAGGTGAGAGCATCTGTTTGTTTATCTTTCTCTGCCTCTTCATCATCTCCCTCCCCCGTCTCCTCATCCTCCGTCTCTTCGTCCTCCATCCTCTGCCGTCTCACGTCTCCGTCCCTCTGGGTCTGCCAGCTGGGAACATGGTGTGTTTGTCTCAGAGTGTGTGTGAGTGGGGAGGGGGGGTGTTAAAGCATCTCCACCCAGCCTGAACAGCAGCTATCATCACCCTAAAGGAACTCAGCGACCTCCTCAGATGATGCAGCAAACTGACACAATCAGAGCGACGTGGATCCAACCTGGAGGAGATCTTCTCCTCCATCAGTCTCTGGGAGGAGGATCACACTCCTCTGTCTGCAGCAAACTTTGACTGAGGCTCAGTCCGCCGTTATGTCCAGAAGAACCCTGAGCCGGAACCTTTGGGTTCCTGAATAATCCTTTCCCAGTAAACGCTGGACTCTGTCACAGGTTGGCTCAGATTCCTCCAGGACAGAATTTCTCGGTAGCATAACCAGCTGGAAGGTCTGAATATTTCCGCCCTGCTTTCTGCAGTCCTCAGGTGGGAGTCTCCACACTGGAGTCATTTTTTTCTTAAAATAAGTGCATTTGTTCCTGAATTGAGGAGTTTAAAGAGACATTTTGCCAACGGAACAAGACAATTTACATTTAATATAAGAAAACACAATTGCATTGTTTTATTTCAAGTGCATTTTATCTTAATATCTTATTTTAAGAGTAAAAATCCTCATTCCATTGGCGAACTATTTCATTTACCTGCTCAAAATTAAAGGGCCATCCATCCATCTTCCTCCGCTTATCCCGGGTCGGGTCGCGGGGGCAGCAGCTTAAGAAGGGAGGCCCAGACGTCCCTCTCCCCAGCCACTTCTAGCCCCTCTGGAGGAATCCCAAGGCGTTCCCAGGCCAGCTGAGAAACATAGTGTCTCCAGCGTTTCCTGGGTCTCCCCCTGGGCCTCCCCCCGGGCCTCCTCCCGGTGGGACGTGCCCGGAACACCTCACCAGGGAGGCGTCCAGGAGGCATCCTAACCAGATGCCTGACCCACCTCAACTGGCTCCTCTCGACGTGGAGGAGCAGCGGCTCTACTCCGAGTCCCTCCCGGATGACCGAACTTCTCACCCTATCTCTTAGGGAGAGCCCAGCCACCCTACGGAGGAAACCCATTTCGGCCGCTTGTATCCGCAATCTCGTTCTTTTGGTCATGATCCAGAGTTCATGACCATAGATGAGGGTAGGAACGTAGGTCGACCGGTAAATCGAGAGCTTCGCTTTTTGACTCAGCTCTCTCTTCACCACGACGGACCGGTACAGCGCCCGCTTCACGGCAGACGCTGCACCAATCCACCTGTCGAATTTCCCGCTCCCTTCTTCCCTCATTCGTGAACAAATTAAAGGTAAATACACTTAATTTAAGACATTTTTTACTTATTTTTAGACAGTTTTTCCAGTGTATCAGCAGCTGTCCAGCTTGCTCCACAGCATCAAACATCAGCGGCGGCTGGACCAGAGCGGCAGCAGCGTCTGCAGACAGGAGGCCCAATCCTCCAACATCATGGAGGCGCCTGAAGTTCATTCCAGGTCACTGGGAGACGCTTTCAATGCTTCATAAATCCCAACAACATTCAGCCACATTTGAAAGTCACTTCACATCTGGTTAAGGGTTTCCTTTCTTTTCTTTCTTTTATTTTATTTTTACCAAACTCTGTATAAATGCAAAGCTTTGGGTAAACGTGTGGATCAAGGTTCTGGTCCGGAGCTACTTCAGGCCCTGTACGTGTGCACGAGTCCATCCTGCTGATGCCAATGAATCTATGACATCACAGCTCGGCTCTTCGTTTGAGCGACATTATTGCTGCAGTTTGAGCTGCAAGCCAAAGTCACAACCAGAGACACGAAACCAGAGGGGCGTCTGAACGCCCTGGGCAATGGCCGCGGGAAGTGGAGGTGCTGGGTGTGCTGTAGCACCCCCTAGTGGAGATTTTTTGAAAAATGAATAAAAAAATACTTTGCACAATTTATAAATTTGTGCAAAGTATTTAGCCTTTTTTTATTTAATTAGTTTGAGGCCTAAGCAACACAGGTTGACGGCAGTTACATTATCATGGAAAAGGAAAGCAATCTTTTGGAGAAAAGAAGTATCCAGGAACGTTGCCGAAGACTAGAACATTTACATAAACTAATGACAGAAACGAACAGAAAATATAACACAGAAATGCATTTCGGATGTTTTTGGAAAACCAAGACCAGTGAAGAAGAACGCTAGTACCGCCATCGCCACCACAGAGAGCAGCTGGAGTGAGGAGACTGTCCGCCCGCCTCTGATAGTAGTTGCACCGGCAACCTCTGCAGCCGCAACCCAAGCTAGCGTGTGACCAGGGCGCCCTGCCTGTAGCTCACACTAAGAGCATGGTCACGCCGAGGACTTTCATATCTATTCATGCAGTTTAAGGTAACCATAGTATTTTAGAGCGTTATTTTGATCCTGTGTGGATTTAGGAGCTAATAGAGTCACGTGTGACATAAACACAGTCACTCATGTTCATACCAGCGACCAAATCTACGCTCTTATAGTGTTTTATTCCATCATCCATTTTCCGTCATGCTTAATCCCAGCTGGGCTCCATGGGGTGCTGGTGCCTATAACCAGCTGTCTACGGGCGAGAGGCGGGGTCTATCCTGGAAAGGGCGCCAGTTCATCGCGGTAATATATCGTTACTGTGAAGTTTAATTAATGGCGCATATCTTCACCTGATGATGTCTGTGTGTTACAGACCTTGGTTCTGTGCACAGAAGTGTACAGTATATGACAATGAAGTAGTGAATCTCAATCTATTTATCTGTTTTTATGTATTGTATTTTAAATAGGCCTATAGGCTCATAGGTCTTTGTCCAAAACAAAAAAAATCAATATTTGTAGCGGCCCTGCTCTGGGTTGAATCTGGGGAAAGAAAGCCGTACGGTGGAAGTTTTAAAACAACAATCAGCAGATTCTGCTGACGTTGAGGCGCCTTGTGATGTCATTGCTAATGTTAAATAACATGATCCAGGCTTGTTTTCTGTGACTTTATGGCAGTTTCTGGTCATAATGTTGCCATGTGTGCTTGGGGGCGGAGCCAATGAGATGTTTACTACCTTGTTTGACTCATAGCCGAGTTTATGCTGAGGTGAAATCGGCCATTTTGAAAGCAAATGGTGCCTAAAGCTTAGTGAAAAATGTTTAGATGAGCAAAGTCTTTTGGAGTTAAAGAAGTCCTGGGTTCAAATCCTGGACGAGCCCCCGCTTTGTCACATGTGGCTCTCCCAGGGAGGTTAACCCTGAGTAAAGATGGGCATATAGTGTATGATTTTTCGCCCTTTTCGGAATGATTCTCCAGTTGTGCAAGAATTTTTCAATCGGGCCGAGTTTCAGCCTGATCGGGGGCTAGCGAGGGGCTAACGAGGGGCGATCAGCCTCTAATGACCACCTCCCGATAAGGAATCATAAGGTTGGGAGAAAATCAAACATGCGTGAAATTCAGGCGGCTGTCGTAAGGTGTTGGTGGGTAAATCCTGCCTTTGAAGAGCCGATTTACCAGAACCTAGAGAACTGCGCATGTGCAAACAGGGGACTTCTTCTTCTTCTTCTAGATAGACGAGTCCGACCATCGCCATCTAGGTGCTCAATCTGACGTGTGGTTTTTAGATGTAAAGTGTGAGCAAGTAGATCGCATCAGAGCATCGGGTCTCACAGTGTGTGAATGTACATCGTGAGCTGCGAATTTTGTGAACCTGATGTTCCATCGTACAGTTTGAGCTGTAGCTGCAGGAAACGATTGAAAATATCTCGCAGTGGACGCCCTGCTTTAAGCTCTTGAGGTTCATAAACCTCTTGTGTAATGTTGGACCTTCTGGCTCCGTGTGGCTGTGATGTTTGACTCGGTTGGGTTTTCAGTGAATCTCTGAGCAGTTCTGTGGGTCTTGAACTTCCTCATCAGTTTCCAGGTTCTTCTTTATGCTGTCAGGTGGTTTGTATCAGAGGTGGACGATAACTGGGTCCGTTCACATCTTTGTCATCAGTGCCGACCAGAGGTGTCAAGTAACAAAGTACAAATACTTCATTTCCTTATTTAAGTAGAAATGTCTGTTCATTATTATTCCTGCAATAAATGAAAAAAAGTCATAATAAATTATTATCTAGAGACTATTAATAACTGGAAGTGAAATGTCCATCGTTCACTTTGTTCTTCTCAAGAACAGACTTGACTATCTATACTATGAATTGTGAATCGAGTGACGGCCATTGTGTCATTTATATAATCTTAAATAAGCCTCTAACAATCCGCAGCATGCACCATGTACCGGTCAAAATAATTGGTACTGGCGTTGGCCTGATTGAACCTGTATCAGTCCATCTCCAGTTCTAGTCATCAGGCATCCATCTGCTTGCTGCAGGCTGTGGGCCTCCCACCCACGCTCCTCTCCACCTGTTTCTCTCTCCGCTGCTTCATGCTGACTCAAGCTGCTCTTCTCTCCACCCTTCCAGCAGCGAGTGGCTTTGTAGACTTTCTTTATGCATTTTAGAGGTTTTTCTAGATCCTTTAGCTGCTCTGTCTCTTGGCTTGTGTCCAGTGTTTTTTGCTGTTGAGATGAATCCATCTGCTGGGTTGTTAAAGCTCACTGAAGGGACCCAGCTGAGGCAGCACAAAGCTACCAGCATGAGCTCAGACTGGAGCTTTGTGGAGGGATGAAGTGGGTCAGAAGCATCAGCTGAGCAGCAGCGTCTCCCTCCTGACTTCCTGCCTCAGGACTTCCTGTCCTCACAGAGCAGCAGAGCGTTTCGCTCCTTAACGAGGCCGTTCAGAGGTCAGCAGCTCAGGGAGACTGAGATGACAGGCGTTTAACCTGCACCGGCTGGGAATGATGTTTCTGTTTGATGTCGAGAAAATGTTACGATACGTTCCAACGTTTTAAGATCAGAACAGACTCCATGGGTTCTGATGATGGCTCACCATGGAGGCATGTTGGATCAGTAAAGATCTGAAACTAACGATGCTGCAGGATTAGATGTGTTGGTTTGTAGCCCATCCCTGCTCTGAGCTGCTCTATGTACCGAAACCTTCCTGATCCTCCGGTGGTGTCACACTGATTGACACTAGGACTGAACACTTTGCAAAGCTTAGTGGGTTCATTCTTTTGGACAATCCAGATATTTTGGTCAGACGAGCAGAGGGTCAAAGTCAGGTGACAGGTGGGAAACGGGAAAAACTCTGGCAAAAGTAGAGGCGCAAACTTTGCTAATTGATTTAGGGCTGCAACGGTTATTTAGCAGATCGATTCATCTGTTGATTATTTTTCGATGAGTCGATTAATAATCAGATAGCCAAAAATTCCTTAAAGAAGACTTTTTGCAAAATGAAACCAGGTGAAACAAAAACTTTACCACATGAGGAATTCTCAACTCAACTCAACTCAAACTTTATTTATAAAGCACATTTAAAACAACCGGGGTTGACCAAAGTGCTGTACAGGAATCGCAGTTAAGGACCATAAGATAAAAGCTAAGGCTAAAATACATAAACACATAAAAATAGAATAAGATAAATGTTTTAATTAAAATACATTTTAGAATAAAATAAAATTTAAAATAAAATTTTGCCAAATGTCCTCTTAGACATGATTAAAAGCCAGGGAGAAGAAATGTGATTTTAAAGAGGATTTAAAAACCTCAAAGGAGCCAATATGCCAAGGCAAGTTACTCCAGAGCCTCGCTGCCATAAAGGCTCGATCACCTTTAGTTTTTAGTCTGGTTTTAGGCATCGCCAGCAGCAGCTGATTGGAGGATCTCAGTGTTCTGGCCGGGGCATGAATTTGGAGAAGCTCAGTCAAATACTGGGGGGACTAGACCATTAAGAGCTTTAAAAACAAACTATAAAATTTTAAAATCTATCCTAAAAACAACCGGGAGCCACTGCAGTGAGCCTAGAACAGGTGATATGTGGTCACCTTTACGTGACGGGCAGCTGCATTTTGTACCATCTGCAGACGGTGTAAAAGTGAGCGGTCCAAGCCAGCATATAAAGAGTTACAGTAATCCAATCTTGTATTGATAAAAGCATGGATTACGGTCTCTAGATCTTTTGATAAAATTCTTAACTGATAAAAGCAATTTTTTACGACCGAACTAACCTGGCGACCAAATTTCAACCCGTCATCAAATATTACGCCAAGATTTTATACTGATGATCGAATGTTAGGTGTAAGAGGGCCCAAGAAGCCAGGGGGAAAAACTGCTGGACTACAACCAAACATTATAATTTCTGTCTTACTTTCATTCAGATTCAGAAAGTTTGAGGCCATCCTTGATTTAACATCGTTTAAGCAGTTAGAAAATGACTGGATGGAGTTGTTGGATTTTGAAGTTAAAGGGAAGTAGATCTGGACGTCATCAGCATAACAATGAAAAGAAAGATTATGGTTCCTGAAAATTTAACCCAATGGTAGCATATATAAAAGAAAAACAATAGTTCTGGATAGAGCGGATTGATATCTGATATATATATGCAAAATGTTTACATATTTTATACAATCTTGGTATAATTCCTGCTCTAAGTGGGTCGCTCTGTCAGCTAAAGGCATGTTTTACAGTCTCTATATTTCAGTTAACGATTAATAAATTAGTTGACAATTATCGATTAATCCGATTAATAGTTTCAACCCTAAATTGATTCATTTGTGAATTTTTTTCTATCAATAATAAAATATGAAAAGATGCCTTAAATAAAGATTTTATACAGAGTTTAAAGATGGAGAAACTAAAGCGAAGCCTCTAGTTGGAGCATATTCACAGACAAATTAGGCTTTTCATGTTAAATAAAATGTTTTTTTTTTAGATTTTCGTTAACAATTTCTACAAAATGACAGCTACAGGTGGGTTAATGTTTTAGAGACTAAATAATCCTGTTAGCAATTAATCAGTTACTAAATGAAACAAAAATTATTTCTATCATCATTAAGATTCATCTGATGAATTATTTCAGCCCTGCGAAATAGTCCAATTATAGAGCTGTAATAACAGAGTTTCCAGTCATCAAAAGATGTAGAAACATGTTTTAATTCTTTTTTTCTTAGTTTTTAACAGTAAACCTTGATTTGTTTAAGGAAAAATCTGCAATGAGGCAGCAGATCTAGGAGGTTCCTGCTGCTGTGGTGCTCAGATCCTTCCTTTGGCGGTTTGGGTTCATCTGCTCTCCCTCTCATGGTTCTAACTCTGTCTTCCTTCTCCAGCAGATCATCACGCAGTCATGTCTGCAGGCCTGGAGGACACGGACAGCGTGTTCGGTGAGTCTCCCACAGCGCGTCATCATTGCATAATCACACATTCCAGAGGATTGCGTTCTTCATGCTGGTTAAGATTATCAGTCATCCAGGTCAGAGTCATTCCAAAAACATTAAAAACAATCCTCTGGACTTTGTTTCCAGGTTTTAAGACGTTTCTCTTCCATCCAGGAAGCTTTTGAAATTCAAAAAAGCGTAATAGTATAGTAAATAATATTCAAAATAGCGTTGAGTTCCAGGTTTTATAGCAGAGGAAACTAATTAAACATCAACACGGTCCGAATAAAGAAAATAATCAACCCTAAAGATCCGGAGACATTTTTAATTATAATCTGTTACTTTAAACAGAATTTGACACTGAAATAAAATGGAGGTTTTTATGCATCCATGTTATACATAAAAGTTTTAAATAACAAAAATATATAAAAACAAAAAAAGGGCATTTTAGAGCATTTTTGAAGTAGAGAACAACAATCTTTAAGTTTGGTATAAAGATAATTTCCTGATTCCAATATTTTCTCAAACCCCTGAACTGATCGTTTGTTATTTTCTTTCTTTTTTCTGTCTTAATGTTGGCAGTGGGCTTTAGGCTGCCCTGCAAGGCTTTAAACCTGGGTTTAACCGGAGACTAAGCCATTCTCAAGCACATATCAAGGTGCTCATTTTGAGCCTGGATCCAGATTTATTGTTGATTCTGTTCATGGTGGAGAATCCTGCTTCACAGCAGCAGGTTGAGCCAAACATCCTCTAAATGTGCAGGGTCATCTTTGAGCACGCCATTTCACTTTTCTTTCACCAGTTCACCGCAGTTCTTCCTGCAGTCCACACTTTCTCTGCTCTCTTTTTCTCATGGTCTTCTCCTTCTTTCCCATCGCCCGGCTTGCCACAGGTTTGCCTGCTGTGTCTAAAAGTAGCAGCAGCAGCAACCCAGACTGACAGCAGCTCATTGGCTCATTTGGATCACGTGCAGCCTGGAGCCGGACGCTCCACAGGGCTTTACCGTATTAACAGGAGGAGAGGCGCAAGTGAAATTAGACACTGTTGTCAGAACTATAGTTTATAAATGTTTTAAATCAGGTTGGGTCCGGATCCGGACCGCGGTCCGCTAATCCGTGATCACTGCTTTATAGAGTCGATCAAAACACAAGAATGTTCACATTTTGGACAAAGAAGACAGATGGTTATAGAGGGGTGTGAGGGAAGCCATAGAGTTGATTCCTTTCCGCTATCATCGCAGTCCCCACCCCTTTACAGGAGAACAGAAGACCTCACCTATTCAGCCAGGCCAACTATTCCCTCTAACGACCCCCCCCTTTCAGAGACATAGACAGGTATGGGGCATTGCAGGCTATCAAAGAAGCCAAACGACCCCCATTCCAAAGGGGGGGACCCGTTCATCCGTTTCTATTTGCATGTTTTCTAAACTAAAACCAGGCTTTGTTGGGCTGCTGGATAAAACCTGGAACTAAACGCTATTTCTGACATTTTGAATTGAAAAAACTTCCTGGATGGAAGAGAAACGTCTTCAAACTTGGAAACAACGTCCAGTGGATTGTTTGAACTTTTTTGGAATTATAGTGTTCTACCTTTGGGGGCGCTGTGCTCACTGGCCCCTCCTGCTGGTCATTAGGAGGAAATGACAGCCTGGTTTATTTCCAGGTGAACAGGAAGCTCAGAAACTCCTAAGTCAAACATTCTTTTGAAGCAAGATTCCGGTTCTTTCTGCCAGATTTCCTCCTCCTTTGTTCACTAACATCATCTTTATGTCCTCCCCCACCCTCAGGTTCAGCCATCCATCACCCCACCACCCTCTGTTTCATTACATCTCCATCTTCTCTCTCTCTGTGTCCCCTCTTTCTGCTCTCCATCCTCCCCTCCCCCTCACCCCCCCTGGGAAATAAACCTCCATCAGTGTTCCTGTGTGGGGGAGAAAGGATCGGCCCTTTATTCCTCTCAGGAGGTCGTTCACATCCTGAACCAGAGTTACCTTAACTAGACAGCAGATAACAGACATGAGTAGTTACTACGCTGGTCGTCATGGAGACGGGAGGCTAATAAACCAAATTACAAAATGCTTGAATCTGATAAACAGAAAAACAAAACCGGCGGGCGTGTGTGTTCAGGACCTTTTCTGGAATATTTACTGAGCTTCTGAGGACCAAGGGGTCTCAGAGACCAAAGCCTGGTCCTAATGTAGCAAAGTTTTAGGGTTAGAATTAAGATTAGGAATATAGTGGTAATTGTTCTATCAGGCCAGGCAGAAACACAGTGACTAAGATGGATGAGAGTCGATGTAAAGTCCTAATCTGAGTAGAAACACTAACTGTGAGAGAGAGACAGAGAGAGAGAGATGGTCAGCATGCTGAATATTTGATGGAGCTTTGATGGACTGAGTGGGAGGAGAAGAAGGAAGAGATTATTAAGTTAAAAAGCTGCTGCATCATCAGAACAGAGCAGTGGAAGAAACACCAAACCTGCT